CCAACTGCGGTATATTATGTTCTACTGCAATGTTCTGCATTTCACTGACAACAAAATTCTACAAAAATAGAAAAAAAAAATGAGCATATAAATTTAAATTAATTTCACAATTAATTAATTAAAGAAATGTAATACTCATCGGTCACAACGTTAACGCCGCATTGTTATATATGTTGGACAAGTGTTGGACAAGTGTTGGACAAGTGCATTCGAGGAAAAATCCAGCAAGTATTATCGAGGAAAAAAAAGAAAAAAGAAAAGGGGGTGAGGGCCTGATGTAGTGAAATCGTGTACATTGTACACGATTTTCGGGACCTGATGCAGCGAAATCGTGTACAATGAACACGATTTTTGATTGCCCGCGTGGCTCCAACTGGAGCCACGTCACACAAGACTCGCGTCCATGGACGCGAGTCTACATTCGCTACCTACTTTTGGAAATATTTTCAAACCTATCTTATTTTTTTTTTTTACATTATTAAAAAACAAAGCCCCCAATTCCCTCTAAGTTACATAATGATGGTAATTAATATCCAGTGATAAATTAAGTTAGAAATTAAAAGTAATAATAAATTACACAAATTTTCAACCAACCAAATACCAAAAATTAATTGACGATAAAAATTCAAACTCAAACCGTGAAAATATATTAATGGAATTAAATAGGTAAAAATAATAATTAACACTAAAATGCTTGAAGCTAAAAAAAAATATAGATAAAGGGTATGAGAATTTAAACCTCCAACTTATGTTAAGTATACGTAAATACAAATGAGCTATTCTCATGTCCAAAGAAAAGTAGAGACATTTACTAAATAGTACGATGTAATTATGTATTTTTAAATAAGCTAAATATATAATCTAGTACTTGGGTATTTTTATAACATAGTCATTATTTTAAAAGTTTCCATTTATTTTCTTATGTTTTAACATTTTTCCGCTATACTTTTTCATGAGTAAATGAAAATGATTTTTTTTATTATTCAATAATTATAGAGTGGGGATCGAACCATTCACCTTTAAAATGATATTAGATGTCTTATCCATTGAACTATATTTGAAATGACAAATTTGGTTGGCGTTAAACTTACGTCATATAATACTTATCGATTTTTATTTAGTTTATGAAGTATTAAACTCAACATTTTTTAATTGATCAAGTCTAAAAAATGAATTTAAAATTATCCTTAAATAGGTATGTTTTTTTTTAGATACTTAAATAGGTAGTTAAGTAGACTGAATAGAAATTGACATTGACATGTCAATATATGTGTTTATGCATGGATATGCACAACAATGTATTTCAGATTGCAGCTCGAACTCGGCCTCCGGACCGATCTGAATACTTGGGCGGACCTGCACAAAAAGGTGAGCACTCCGACGATCAAGTCAGTATAGGTCGGATTCCCAGTTTAGTTCGAGGTCAGAAATCATCGTACCTGATCGTGGAGTGAGGTCCTCTACTTATGCGTGGTAGTCCCGCTAATCTCGCGACGGTTACACCCGGTAATCTCGGGACCGACGGTTACACCCGATAATCACGCCGCTGACAGTAGCTCACATCGGCCCCTACCGAGCTTCCCGGTAGGTCGGACCTCGGCCAGGTTCACCTCGGCCCTCATACTTAGCATCTATCAACGCTAGTGGTGGTGATCTCGGCGGTCCGAGCTGGGCATGACTCATGAGTCATCTTGGAGCACCAATAGGGGTCC